AACTCGCTAAACCACATGGCTATTCGAACCAGGCCTATTTGAGAATTGGAAGGCTTTTATCTAAGAGATGTGTTAGGACTGATGCAACTGAGAGAAGGAGTCTTAAGGATGATTCTTGAGTTGCTGGAGCTTAAGAATCATTCGTCTGCGAAGAAGACTGTTCAAATAGTAGTGCGAGAGGAAGACCTCACGTCTACAAATGTCTAAATTACCTTCGCCATAACTCAAAGTACAAAGGTACAAATAATATATGAACCTTGCAAATATATTTATGCCAATTTCGTGACTTAATAATAAATTTCTAACGTTCGATTCCTTCAAAATCTGATTGAGGTTGAGTGTGTATTCGACGAATACTTGAATCTCATATTTAACAAATAATTGTAATTGTTGCAAAAATAACTATTAGAAATTGTAGCACATGGTTTTTTTCTAGAAATTTATGCCGTAGTAGTGTTCCATTAGAATTATCCACGAATATAATGAATATTAAAAATAGTATTGAGCATAATACTTATCTAAAAGACACTCTTCACCCGCAGGAGGTCCTCGTTGAAAGCAAAGATTCTCAACTTATTGGATTGGGTTATCGCAGCTAAAGATTTCATGATAGTTCCCACCGCAGTGTGATTGATAATGTGATAGAATTGATTAATAGAAATTGCCCAACTAAATTGAGGTAAGCAACTGAAGAAACGATAAGGCTCAATCTCAATACAAAATACAGTTTGGTGAATTTGTCTTATAATAAAATTCACCAACAAATTATCTGAACCACTGCGTTTTAGCTGACTCACCGTCATGCGTATCGCAATAACTGCTTTGTAATGACATTAGTCTCTATTAATCAATTCTATCACACTTTGCAGAATTCCATAACATCACACTTTTGCGCAAAAGAAAAGACTAGAGAATCTACTATTTCTATGATTGGAAAGCTTTATATTGTGCAAGACAAATCCATATCTCAACATAATATCGTAAAAACAATGAGTATGGCTTGACTTCGTCGCTTAATAATGTCAAATAATTGTTTTATTACATTTAAAGATGGTAAATTCATTTAAAGCTTTACAAATATACATGAAATAAAAGAGATCTCTCAGTTATCCTCGTACTGGGCATCCTCGACCATTACAGGTAATAAATAACCCATTTTGAGGAGTTCCAATGTACCTGTTTCCGTATCGGTCCACGTTATAACCGCCACCTCCGCCACCCATGCCAAACAGTGTTGAGAGAAGGCCATATGACGGTTGACGATAGTTGCTACCGTAATTATAGTTGGAATAGTAGCTAGGATAAGAGCTCGAATATTGGTTGTAGTACGGGCTTCCGGAGGAGTAGTATGATGTTTGATAGTAAGGGTAGGTTTGATATTGGTAAGAGTAAGGGCTGTAGCCATATTGAGCTAGAGCAAGCGGTAGTAGAACTGCTAAGAATTGAAGGATTTTTTGTGTCGAGCAGAAGGGCATATTTGATCAGGTAAAGTTACTGGATATGGTAAGAGAAAGTCGTACCAGCTTAAATAGCCAGCAAATCCAGGAAATAGAATCCAGAAAGTATCGTACAGTAAGTTTTATGGCACCGTATGCGCTTAATTCGCATACAAACAACGCCCACCTCACACCATGCTGTATCCGCCAGCGGGTTCATTCCGTTCTGCAACGAAATTTCGGGTTCGTCGTGACCACTTTCTATCCGTTTCACATTGCGTAATGTGCTCCCCTA